ATTCATAATCGGATGCAATCATGAGCAACACAATGCTATAGAACAATGTTCGTCATAAGAAGTGAAATTACCCGTTTTGGGTAATATCATTGAGTGGGGGGAGAGGGGAGAGGGAGGAGGGTAACACGGCGGCCTGCCGAATCATCAAAAGGAGTAATGAAGCACCCAAACGTGAGAACTACTGCCTTAGTGAGTTGTCTCAAGAGAAAAGGATCTTTTTACGTTTATGAAGAACAAGAAGAATCCCATCGAGGAAGGATTTAAACTGATTCGCATTGCCCACGTCTCAATGTCAATACAACCGAATATATTGCTCAACATCACTCCAACCAGAATGTTCGAATAAATTCATCACTCTACCTATTCACCAACATTGGTCATTTGACACCAATACATACAGCAATGCAACACAGTTTTGACTACTGTTCGCGCCGAACTGAGCCCAGTCGAGCTGTATGCGAGCTATGGCTAGTTTCCCGTAAAACCGTGCTTGACATCTGAAAATTTTTAAAACATTTCAGTATTCGAATCACACTCCCTTTCAATCTGCGAAAATGATCTCACTTTAACCAAAAATCTGCATGGAACATCGTTGCATTCATTCTATTGACTCTCTCAGGCATCACAACATTAAATCGAATGGATATCACGACAGTAATTCGAATGGAAGGGAAATAACAGCAGTGATGAGCAGCACACTAAATGAATGAAGAAGGAAAGTGAGGAGATAAACTGAAAAATATGTGGACGTGATCGCTGATAATTGAAATATGAGGCGGAAATGGTCGAAGGTGAACATATAGGTGTCATTTAAGAATCTGAAGATATCTAGTGATTAGATTGATAATCAGTGACAGTAATCGAGACAGAATCGATGCAAATCAACCACAAATCGTGAAATAGAAATAATCTGCTAGTGAATTGCAGGGTTCATTGAAGCGAACTGACGGTGACACGAATAACAATTAGAAGTAACATGCTTGCGATGGAAACGGTGCAAAAAGTTCGAAACATATGAGAAAAAGAACNCTTAAGCATTCACTCACCTGTACCACATTTGTGGATGCATCCCGTTGTAAAAATCCATTCAAATCAGGCATGACAGTTGGTTGCAACCACTTATAACCCTTTTTAGCGATACATGGACATAATAACGTTAAACACATCCGACGGAACTTGCGTCCAAATAGCGAGTAGACGACTATATTCGACGCACTGTAAAACTAATTCGATGCAATTGACCGATTGGTGATCATCTCTCCGCTAAGTTTCAGTGATAAGAGCGTAACACAGTGAAGAAAAACTGATGAATGGAATACCTGTTGACGCAAACAAGCAAGTTGCCAATGGAGAGTCGAAGCCGAAAATACGAAACGTACTCTTCAAAGAACGCTTCAATGATCTGATTGATTCCAGCCATCAGATTGCATATTATGAACGTGACAATCATCGCAATCGCCATCAGTGTACATCGTCTCTCTTTGTCGTCGAACTTTTCAGTTCGTTGTACCTAAACGTACGTCAATCATTCACGCTGAAGTGGTTATCAGCCAACTAAGCACAAAACCTATAAGTGAATCAAGCATGTTCATCCAACAACCAACAACCGTGACTGATCGCATTATATGTTCAATGATGAAGAAACGGGAATAGTGAGTATAATGTTTCGCAGATTACCTGCAACAATGAGCGTCTTATGTGATAAGCGCTGTGAACGGCTCGTATAACGATAACGTTGAGAACGATCATGACAGTCCATGGAATGATAATCAACAATAATAAGTAACCATACGTATTGTAGAGAACAATATAGAGTGAATTTGTACGTAGTTGGGTTGGCGCTAAACGACCGCATTCGTCGAGAGTTAGTTCGAATAGTGACGGTAATTTGTACAGAAATGATACGGTCGCGATTATGGATAGCACTAACTTGGCACGTGAAGGTGAACACCAAATACGTGTATGTAGCGGGTATTTTACAGCCAGAAACCTGCAATTATTTCTCTGGCACATTTGCACTGAACGATAATCGAGATGAATGATAATAAAACCTTACAATGAACACTTGAAATATTTAGACGGATTAATCAGTTGGAACCTACCTATCGACAGTCACAGCGACGCATGTCCACACGGACGACGTTTGCGCTGCCAACGAGATCGGGAATGTCACCAGTGCGGTCTTCCAAAAGAACTGGCAAACAGCACCGCGTTGCTGAAACAAACCACTCGAAATCACAATGATTCGTGAGCATTATCAATGCTAAAATGCCTGTCTGCTGTCAATGATGTTGACTCTGTTCTCGTTGAGTAAAGCACTCAGAAACTTATTTTGAAACGGTCTGTTAATGATGAATTATGCTTTGTGCTGTTCAGATCAAATCATGGGAACGTTGATCAAAAGAGCTGAGAATTTTATGGATGACCGAAGCGACGGGCATCTTTTGGCAAGAGCATCTGTTGGCTTCAACATTCGAGTGATATTGTAACAAGATTGAGGAACATTTTGAGGACTTTTTGGAAGCAATTCGTGATATGCACCACATGCATTATCCTAACTTCCAATCTGACGTGCCTCAATTAGGAGTGATTCAGGATTNAAAGCTATCCGTAATCGGAAGTAGCATCGCTATCGCATCAAGTTTGGTGGTTTCTCACATGCTTTACGATTGCTTATGATCTTCCAAGTTCATAAGTTGTTTATATCATCCATTTCCCTTTCACACATACTTTGATAATGCAAGCTCATGAAAGCTGCCACCTCAAGGCAGCTAAAGTGCACTTGGCTCTATCTGCTCGCTCGTATTGCAAAACTTATGATTGTTTTGTTTAATTGCCGGGTTTTTACTGTTTATGATGCTCATTTATTAGATCTTTACTCAACAATTTTTGGCATGATTCGAAAAAATAATGAGTGCGTTTGTAATGCGGTAAAGAGAATACGGTACATACAAGTTCGGTTTAATTTATTCACGAAGCAAACAAGTAAACCATGGAGATTGCTTTTGTTCAGTGAAATATTATTCAGTGGTTGGTTGAGATGCCACAGAAGTCATCATTTTTGCTTGATCAATGACTGACGTTTAATTCAATTGGAATATATTTTACACTTTTTGTGGACGGTGAGATAAATGTTCCTTGAGCATTCGATTCAGTTTAGGATTTCTTAATCCATCATATTTTAAAAAATATCAGCTTATAATACGCATTCGCCTGTTCGCATTTACACATCTATGTCGGTTTGTACTTAAAACTTACAAAACACGCAGACGAATTTGCATGAAGGGTTTCAATTCGATCGAAAGTGATAATTGAAACCCTAAATGAGCAAAATGAATTTTCACTCCCAATAACGCATCAACGATTAACGCATAAAATCCCACAAGAAATTGCAAAAAGATGAAATCAGTGGTGTTAAGTGTAATCTTTCAGCAAATCTAGAAAATTGCTTGCCTTACGTGTGTTGTTTTTACGTCAATTATCCTCATTTTGCTGTCCGGTAACTGTCGAAAATTGACGTGAATGCATGTCAAAAATGTCGTGCAGCGCTCAAAATGATCGACAACTTCCTGAGGCATGAGGTTTTTGCAAAGCGAATTTCTGACTTCACACAAACAAAAACTGCTCTACGAATATGACAATAGAAATCTCATCAAATCCGAATAAAAACTAATCACATTCTTCATTCAGCACAGCAATTTGGCAAACAATAATGTTGTGTTGTCTTTTGCCTACATTGTACCTTAAAGAACAATCGCGAGCAGAATTATATACCACCGAA